TTGAATTAGTTAATAATAGTAAATTATTTCAAATAATTTTCTTATCAAAAATATGTATCCACAATCTTATATATTTTTACTCTATTTTCTATAAATGTTGTGCAATAAGAGAGGATTTCTTAATAAATTTAAGCTGTATAACTCTTGTCGAATTTTATTTTTCACCACAAATTAAATAATTGTTTCAATTTTTTTCCACATAAACTATTGATAGGCGGTTAATAATTGTTAACCAATTTGATTATCTTCATTATTTTTAATTTAATTTAAACATTACACTTAGTTACACATACATACGTATATGCACATTAGTATGTAAGTACATTTTTCTTACTCCTTTGTGCATATATAAGCACTTTTCACCACATCACATATCATATAATTCTATACACATACATACACACTACTTTACTTGTTAAGTAAACACATTTACATTAATTTGTATGTATGGAGCTGTAAGTATAATATTTGTTTTTGTTATTTATATTTGACTCTTTTTTGTTAACACTGCGTCCGTTTACCGTTATTACATTTTAGCACTGTTCCGAACGCTGTAAAATCCGCAACTGAAGTTGCTCCTCGTCGGTGCCTGAATTTATATGTTGTCTGTGAATAAGGAAATTTTTTTATGTGTGTGAAAAGCTGCGCAGCAACGGAAAAGCTCTCACATGCCGTGCGTAGGCTCTTCGAGAGTCGGTGAAAAGCGCTCTTATACGAATGTGCCGGCAAATTTTCGCGGTAAAAATTTGTTGATGCCAAGTTTGGCATTTACAATAAATTTAACAGAATCAAAGTGGAAATTAATTAATAATAAAATTCTTAAAAAATCAGCAGATTTCTTTTCACTTTTACCGGTATGTACCTTTTTTATTGTCCTAAAATATTCCATAAAAAATGCAAAAAAAAATATTTAATTTTACGAAATGTCATTTAACAAATTGTGTATTATATAATTCGGTTCAATATTGTCACTAAAATATTAAACTGTTTCCACTTTTGTTAGTAATAATTTTGCCGCCAAAAATTGGCTGCAACACACACGCACAGGTAATAATGATAACACGCACACCCTTCCCCAGCCTAGGATATTGGCCGCCTGTATAAGAGAAAATACAACGCTGTGAAAGCGCAACAGCTGTCTGCAAATTAGACAAAAACAAATAAAACAGCAAATTCCGAAATTTCGCTCTTCTCTCAGTAAATTCAGGAGCAGAGTAAACAAAATATTGTAATGCCGTGTGCTCCTTCGCTGTTTGCCGCCTCCAAAGTGACCCACTTGTTGATCACTTAAAAAATGTTTAACGAAGAACTACTGAACTACTTTAATTTTCTAAAATGTCCTAAATGAAAGTATAGCATAGGCAAGAGCAAATAAATGAATAATTTTCGGAAATTATTGAGAAAAGAAATATTCTGTTACGAAACTTATTTTTACTTTATTAGTAGTCACAATTTTATAAAAATATATGCCAAGAGAGTTGATCTACAGAAATTAAAAAAAAAAAAAATTGTATTAAGAATTCACGTACAAATTCGAAAAATAACCTAATCTTTCCCTTATCCTTTAAAAGTATATGAAAATACTTTTGAAAGAAAGGATTTCAAAAATATTGACATCAGTTTTTGAAAAGTATTTAAAAAGGTTAAAACACATTTTCCCCAAGATTTATCAATTGACTAATTTGAAAGTATCTAAGTGGAAAATTTTCAAAAAAAATCATTTTTCCGACTTTGTGTTTTTTAATACTGAGCAGAGTAAATTAAGTTTGCCATGAAATTTATAACGCCTAGAAGGAAACGTCGAAAACTCTATATAATGGTATATATATATAAATGATCAGCATTGTGAACTGAGTTGATTTAATCATGTCCCTCAGTTTGTCTGTATATACGCGAAATAGTATCTCAGTTTTTGAGACATCGTGTAGAAACTTTGGACACGTCCATTTCTGCTGCTCATTTATCGGAATCACTGTCATTGGGCCACTATAGCATATAGCTACCATTCGATAAAAATCAAGTCTTTGTTTAGAAAACTTTTTTATGTGACAATATATCTTCACGAAATTGATACTGATGATCCAAGGCAAGACCACAATCTTCGAACAAATTTCTCAGATCGGACCACTATAGCATATACATAGCTTCCACATAGACTGATATATGAAAATCAAGATCTTCAAAAGAAAGATTGATTGAAATTACTTCCATATATAAGTGCTAAAAGAAATGCATCTTCGGTGTAGCTGAGCCTAATTAACAACCACCACTACAGTACAATAAGATGTAAAGAACGTTTTGAAGCTTTAGGTTACACCCGAAGTCCCCTTTTCGTTCTTATATAATTAACACATAATCATTTTTCGTCACCGAATAACTGACCAGTTCGCAATAGCGTCAGTAACGACCCTTAAGCGCTCTTTTCCCTTCGCGCCAACGCTGCGTGATTATGTGTGATTTTAATTTCATTAAACTTCAAGTTAATTAACAGCAACAACCCGCTGCTGCCATGCTGCCATTTAAACATGGCAGTATATACATACATACATATGCACATTGCAAACGTATGTTTATGATATGACTATATGTACTAGTGTGCCTACGAACCTATCGACCCGACGGCTTTATGAGCATGTGAAAATGTGATTAAAATAAGCGTCAGTTACAAAAGTTCCCAGCTTTGGGGGCTGTCAAACTTTAATAATCATTTGCAGTCGAGATAATCAGCTTTTTGGTGTGAGTGTGTGTGTGAAACCACATGCAATAGCAATATGTTAAAGTGAAGTAAATCGACATAAATTATTGGCAACAATTTGGGTTTTGGGTTACTAACTTATTCGAGAGTCAATATTGTTTTTACAGCTAAGGTATAAGAAATACCTGGCAGCTGATTATTGCAGTAAAAGAAAATACAAAAAAGGTGGTAAATTTTAATTAAGAAGCCAAATTACATAACTTAGCTTAAGTACACATAGCTTATTTCAGCATATTGCCACTGAGTTAACATGCTTAAATGACATTTATAATACACCGCAATATTGCTGGTTTGGCTCTGCTACATGAATATAGGTTTGATATGCTTTTTATTTGAATAAATACTATGATTTAAATAAACGGAACTATTTTATGCGTCTTATATAAATATAATTTGTTAATTTGGAATTTACTCCTCTCTGAAACTGTGTTTTTTTTTCGGCTTTTTAAGAACATACGGTCTGATCAAGTATGAGAGCAAAAATGTAGATGAGTCAGCTTATAATCCAATCGTCAAAGTTGAAGTCTTTTTGGCATAGGTTTCAGTATGCTACAATATAATGTACACTATATAAATATTGGGAGGTCGAAAAAGTCTTTTCGTATTTCTAATCACACTTCATATTATTTTTTTAACTTTAATGAAGCAAATATGTAACATTTTGGTCGACCACGTTTCGCATATTTGTTGGGTCAACTAACGTTACACCCTATTAGTTATTAAGTTATTTTAAGTTTAGTTACTCAATATATAAGAGCACAGACTCAATTGTACTAACAAACTAAGGTATTGTAAATTGTGTGTGCTTAGTGCTCCCACATAACTCATATGTATATACACACGTATGCATACCTACATATGTTCGCAACAACATAACAGCGAGAGTTTTTGTCACTCCTTTTGTGTGACTCTTTCGCATGTGCAAGCATATGAACATCCATCGAAGATATTAACATAAGCCTAATCATTGTACCTAATTACATTTCATTTACATTAAATAATATAGTCTATTGCTGACCACCAAGGTGACAAGTTATTATTGTTGTTTCGTTGAACTAACGCGGTTGGGAAAAACTCTTCCTGATCCTACAATATTGTCATATTTGATCCACTTTTTGTCTCCTGCTACCTTTTGTTTCAGAAGTGGTTTAATTTCATTTCGTTTCAGCAAAGAATAGCAGATGCTAATTCGGTCCATAAATTTTTCACAGACAATTCATATGATACCCAAACATCGAGCTTCTTTTTGTAGCCAGTATTTTTTAAATGGTTCCGTTTGATGATGAATCTTAAGTTCCTTAGCGATATCATGGGTGCTTATGTGACGGTCCTGGTCAATCTTTTCCATAATTTCATCGACTTTTTCAACGATAAGTCGACCAGAGCGGGCTGCATCTTTCATATCAAATTTCCAAAACGGAAGACAGAGAAGCATTGTTGTGCTATGCAAAATGATACAGCATGGTTTCCGTAAACTTCCCTTTTTTATTCAAAAATTTCAAAACATAGCGAAAATCTTCATTATTATCAGTCTGTTTCGAAAATATGTAACTTTTTTTCAACTTCCTCGACTTTTAATGAAGCTTAGAATCTCACCACTCCAGCACTATATATTGTGACACAATGTCATTACACAGGAGATGTACGACTGCATCGACCAAATACGAAAAGACTTTTTCGACTACTCAATATATTTTGGGCCCAGGTCGTACCAATCGTGATACCAATAGATATGTCACTTTATAAAGCATTTGCAGAAATGTAATTGAATACAGAGCAATGATCCCTGACCTGAAATCGATATTCGTCGAGATTAGCTCAATTGTCAGTTGTCGAATTTGATGAGTCTGATCTCATATGTTCATACCTGTACAGTCATAATTTTGAGTCATAAACCAAACTGTATAATACAATTTTTCTTTAGATACAAAAAGAGGACCAAATACGTTTATCTTGTAAATATGTATGTATATTTTTCATATATAAGATGAATAACCAATTTCAATAATTAAGTATATACGTGTTGGCATGTTTGTTGAAAATGTGTGCTAAAAACAAGTCAACAATTTATGAATAAGAAAAAAATAGTAATATAAAGTCGAGACATCTTAATATTCTAATAACTGTACTTATTTTGGTCTAAAATCATCTAACACGTTTGACCACGCGATAGTGATAGCCATCATCAAGCAATGCAGCTGACTCACCCTCGGGACCATCAGCTTCGACCACACCCTCTTCTAGTGGAGGCAAATAAGCGCTTTCAGGCTCAGCAGCAATAATTGCCTCGGAGTCTTCAACGGGCTCGGGCTCTTGCACCACCGCTGGTTCGGATTCTGCCTCAATTTCCGCTTCGTACACATGTTCTGGCTGAGATACAGCCTCTGGCGCTGCGTCTGGCTCAGCTACTTTAACCAAAGGCAACGAACCCAAGTCTGGCAACACTGCTGGCTTTCTATAGTGGTATCCATCATCTGCGAATACTGCTGACTCCACAGGTGCTGCTTCGGTTGTAGTAGGTGCCTCGGTTGTAGTTGTTGCTGCCTCAGTAGTGGGTGATTCTGTCTTTGGCGCTTCAGTTTTAACTGCCTCCGTAGTGGCTTCTTCAACTGGGAGCTCGTCATGTACAGGTGGCAAATATTCATTGGCAAGTTTCAATTGTGGAATTTCCTCTGGCACATCTAAATGGGGCGGCAAATAGCTGTTTGCTAGCTTGGGAGCTGCTGCCGGTGGCAAGTAACCCAGATTTAAATGTGAGACATCACGACGTTGGCGCAACCGAAGCTTGCGCACAGTGCGGTATTCATAGCCATTTTCGCCGAGGACGGTGGACTCGGGTATTGCTTCGGCAGCGGCTTCGACAATTTCAGGTTCCACGGCGCTGTTAACTTCTGCAACTGGAACTTCTTCAGCAACTGGCTCTGCTGGTTCGGACACCGATTCCACGGGTGGCAAATAGATATTTTGCGGTTCAGCAGCCTCAGATGCTGGCGGCAAGTATTCGTTTAAAGGTTCTTCTACAATTTCGGAGACATCACGTTTCAGTCGCTGCTGTTGCAAAGGAATAGCTGTAACGGCTGCTACAAGGCACAAAGTAACGAATGCGATTTTCTAAAGTTGTCAAATGAGTAAAATATTTTAAAACAATTATTGTAACATTTTCGATCTGATTTCTCGAATTGATTACTTTATAATTAATATTTATACTTACCATTTTCGGTGTAACCAAATTTTGAATTATCAAAAATTATGAGTTTTGTTTTTGCTGGCTGTGGTCCACTGAACTGAACGCAATCGAATGATGTTGATGTCGAAATTGTTATTTCTATTTATACGAGAAATTAACGCATCAACGCAACTGTCCCAAAATAAGAAATATGAAATTAAAATCAACAATCGATCTCTTCGATCTCTGCCATCATCCGCAATAAACTCTTCCTGTTGTGGGTTGCCTGCGCTCTGGTTTTTCTTTTTTCATTTGCCGCTACTCTGTATCGTTTCACACTTCGCTCAATGAGCAAACAACCGGCAAAAGCAGCGGACGAGCTCTTAAATCAATTGAGCGTTGTGAAGAGCGTTAAAGGTGCGCAGAGCATTATCGAAATTGTCTGCAAAATGTACGCATGCGCTGCCGCCAAGTGTTAATGAATTCAGTCAACATCCATGGTTTACCGATCGCTACAAATCGATCACTCATCTTGCACGTTATGTCAAGCACACAATTATTTCTCCCTTCGCTTGAGGGCCCTTAGATGCCTTAGCAATCTTGAAGATGACACTGTACCGTTCGATTGCCAGACGTACACAATTGCCTGTGAGCGAGTGCATATACAAACGATATTGAAGTGTTTCGGGATTTTCGCAGATGCAAACGGGATCCCGAGATCGGGTTTAAATATGGCTTATAAACTCTTTTTATTGAAGCCTAAAACCGATAAAAAAGAAAATGCAAAAAATTAAATGATATTAATGAATCGATAAATTGTGTTTAACTCAATAAAAGTTTCCATTTGAGAAACTGGTAATCTTAAAATACGTTTCAATTCCGTTTTTTGGGCTTACACATTAAGAACCTAATTTCTAAATTTTTATTAAAGGGTGATAAGTATATGTGAAAAAATAACCAAATTATTGGTTAGAGACTATAATATAAATTAAATTTGAACGCTTCTAACTTTATTTTCTTTAACTATATTTTTTGACTTATTTAATTAGTAAAGAGAACTAAAATAAAAATATTAAGAATTTGCAAACCAAAATATTCAAGTTTTTCAATCTAGTTGTGTTATTGTAGCCGCAGAATACTGCTGAGTTGACAAGTATATAAAACCTTTCGTATTAGAAACTTATAAAAAATGGAATGTGAAATATTTCTGAAACATAATATAATCAAAGAATAGTATGTATTTACCTTTTCGGTATTGTAGTATCTGACATATGCTCACCTGCTTTATACACATGCACATCTATACTACCTAACCACTCATCGGTCGGCAACATCCATCAGCTGCCTTCCGCTTTGGCACTCGATCAACACTCAGCTTAGGTGTAAGCGCTTTGACGCTTTGACAAGCGTGTAATGGCTTACCTCACGACCTTTGAATGTCACAATACCCAAAATTGGATTTTGATTATTTTAAATGCTTGGCATGTAATGCAAACGCACGGTCATGGACCACTTGGTAATTAGTGCACACTATGCAGTAAAGTACGAAATAAAGTTGAAATAAAAGCTATTACCTATCGATTAAACACTATAATTCTGTGACGCATGCCCAACCACATAATTTTTTATTTTTTTTGTTTTTGTAATCTCATTAAATGGTGCTTTTGACGCCGGCGTTTATGATGTAATACGCTGAGAAACATGTAATTGTGTTAAGATTCTTAAATGTTGCTTCAAAGTTGTTACTTTATTTCCATTTTCAAACATGCTTTCTCATCTTCGTTTGCTCTGCTACAATTGACATTGTCAATATTTCTTCATAGGACTGTCAATAGTTTAATGGATAGTTATTCAAAATTTCTGACACTGTTGTACTATGGTATAAAAATGCATATAAAATTAAAATTAGCCCCTTTAACCGAAATGAAATTGTTGAAATTCAATAACTTAATTGTTATTTAAAATACTTAAACTTATTTATTGAAATATGTTTCGACAGATTTAAAAGCTGTGATATTTTTATTTCACCCTTACATTATATACGGTTAGTCAAAAAAGTCGTTTCGTATTTCTAAACAAACTTCAACTTACTTTTTATATTTTTAATAATAAATAAATAAACAAATATGAACCAACTTGGTCGACCACTTTTTACCATTTTTCCGCTAGAGACATTATTCCATTAGTGTAAAACTTCCATCAGTGTATTATTGCATTTCACAAATACTATTGGTGACTTGCGGGGCATTCTTCCCTTTTTTATACAAAAATATCAAAATATAGCGAATTTCTTCATTATCTTCACTGATTTTTGAACAGCTATATCTCTTTACAAACTTCCCCGAACTAATTTTTTGGTTAAATTAAGCTTAAAATCTCACATTTCCAACACTATATCGTATGACACAATGTGATTGGTAGCACTGGAGATATATGACTGCAACGAGATATATTGACAAAATACGAAAAGTCTTTTTCGACTAACCAATATATGGAAAATTTTCAGAAAGTACTGCAAAGAGAGAATTATTAGCAAAAAGAATGTGAGGGGAACCTACCTTCGACTCTGAAATTATTTCATATACTATTCTTCAAATATTATCAAATATCAGCCCACTGTATACGTATTTTTTATCTCTAAGAAGAACATTGATATCACTTCATATTAAACCCATACTATCCCTCTTGTATAGAGTATTATGCATTTATTCAGCTGTAAGGTATAGACTTTATTCAATAGAATTTTATGAAGAATGCGAGCGAAATTGATGACATCAGTAAGATCTCCATTTATTAGAAGAAAAAATATTGAAATATAATAAAATATAAAAAAAAAATTTCGAAAATTCCTAACACCTCTCCCATCATCGGACATAAGTTGCTTCATCGAAACCTCAAAATGGTTGGATAGAGAAGGTGAAACGTGATAGCAAACAAAAAAGGTCTACGAATAGTGCATCAAAATGGCATAGCCAGTGCTAATGGAGCTCGAAGTACAACAGAGCTGCCCTCCTACCTACCTACCTTCCATCAATACAAAAAAAAAAAGAATTGCAAGAGTCTTTAATAACACATTTGTATCTTAAATTTGTTTTGCAAATCTCTCGAAGTCTGATTTCAGCTCGAACTCATCGCTGCCTTACTCATTTTTTTTTCTACTCAACTTCATTCAACGCACATTTGGAATACTTTGAACAAGTCAATGTCAAGCGCAATGAGCATTATGCTGCGTTAAAATTCAATGTCAATAGCAGTACAGCGGGCAAAACGAATACAAATATTTGTATGTATAAAAAATAATGCTTCATGCACTGTATACATGTGTGTATGGCATACAAAATCACGGTTATGAAAGCGAAATAACGAAAAGCGCGACATCAAGTGCGATAGAACCGCAATGAGACACGCGCTTAAGCTGAAGAGGCAAACAAAAGTATACGACGCCAAAAAGAACACCAAATAAAAACAAGCCGAAGCAACACAAACACAAATAAAAAGTCAAAATTTAAGCACTTGAAAAGTGTAAAATAAAAAACGACAGTTCAGCCAACTTAATAAATTTAAACTTCGGTGATGTAGGCGTACATTTTTGTTCAATTATAAAAATGTAAAAATACTATATATATAAATATTAATATGACGTGAAGGATTCAAGAATGTTTGGGTCAGCACGTCATCACTGAAGCATTACTTAAGTAATTTTAACAAAATAACATTGTTAAAAAAATATTTCTTAAAACAACATGAATGCGCACATATTTCCTCATTTTTCAATTATTTTGAAATATTTTATTATTTTTGCTGTTATTACCATTGGTCTATATCGCACCAACGTCAGATTGGTGCTGGCAAAAAGTTCATTGTCATGTTGCCAATACCGATAACCTCTAGATTTGAACACTTAAAACAATTTATTGCAAATAATAAAAGATACAATATTTGTAGAATGCTTGTTAGTGTGTAGAAATCGTGATCAGCTTTAAGCACTGTCGAGACGATTGATATCTTAGCAGCCAATTTGTCGGAAAACAATTAAACAAAGTCGGAAATATCCATATCAAAATAATGTAGAAACAAAACAACTTATTTTGGGGTTAACTTTAATTGATATTTTGTACTTAAAATATTTCTTTTTTGCTGCAGCGATTGTTTTTATGAATATATGTACATATCAGTTGCTAAAGCTTAGTGATTTAAGAAAAATAATGTGAACACATTTTTTTATACAACTGAATTAAATTCATTAAAAAGTTAAACTAAAGAGTGTTCAATTATTTTAGGATAGCTCAAGTAGGTTTAGTTTTACAAGTCATAAAAAACATAAAATAAAATGAAACATTTTGTCATCAACTATCAAATACCAGGTTGCGAGATTTGTAAATATTGAAGGAAGGAGAAAGAAAAATGTTACAAATTAGTTAGTCCTAGCATGTTTTGCGTGCAGTGATTTTGATCGATCATTTTGTATAGTCCGATCTGAACAGTTGGTTCGGAGAGTGTAGTCTTACCTTGAAGAATAAACTTTGCCAAATATCGAGCTGTGTAGCCATTTAAAGGTTAGGTTAGGTGGGTTTCAGAGGTACAAAAAAAGATATTTTTAGAATTTTTTTTTTCAAATATAAACAATCACAAATTTTAAAAAAACTGGCTTATCAGAGGAACATATTTGAACAATAAAAAAAAACCAAAAATATTACGGTAGTACATATAGTACATAAATCTCGTCTTTGAACAAAGAAAATAAATAAAATAAATATTGAAATATTTTATCAGGCTTTGGACAAAAAAAGATGTCATTTTTTAGTAAAATTTTCGCCTACGTGGCCTGATGGGCGGAACTTCCGAAAGGTTTTTGGATAGTGAATATGAACTTCCCTCCATTTAATTTTTTCCTCGCTACTGTCACGTGATAAACTTGCCTTCTAAGCCCATGGTACCAAACACTTATTTTTCTGTTCCCTTAAGAGCTTGCTGCACAGCTATTTGAAGCTTTGCAAGACGCTAAACACAAGTTAGCAGCTTCTTTGTAGTTTAAACTTTTGCGTAAACAGCAATTTGTGGCAAAGTTGAGTGCAGCAGTGTTGAATACCTGCTGTGCGGCCAATTTGCTGCCACAAATAGCTCTTCGGGAATCT